TAAAGTATTTAATATAATCTTTATTTAACTAATAAAATTTTAATTTTGAATACAGAAGAACTATAAGAAACAATCATGTGATTAAACTTTTGCTTGCATATCATTCTCAACGAAAGGTAAATTATTTAATATAATCTTTTGTTTAATTAATAATAAATAAAAAAATAATGAAATCGTATTAATTATGAAAATAAATTTTAATTAGAAGTCTATAAAACATATATAACTATAATTTTCAAAATTATAAAAAGGAAAGATATCTTCCATCCAAATTTTCATCAAGTCATTTTTCAAACTTCTTCAATTCGTTAATATCTTCCTCATAAAATTCTCTATCATCCTTAAATTCATTAAAATCTTCTCTCAATTCATTTAAATTTATTAAAAAAATAGGTAAAGAAAAGAATCTCCTGATCGCAAAAAGTAGTAAAAGTGCTAAAAAAAGAGCAAAAGAGAAAAAAAGTCTAAAAAGTCTAAAAAATGTAAAATATAATCAGCTGATATACTAATATTTTTATTAACATTTATATTTTTTATAGTAACTTCTAAGCTGGTCTCAAAAGCAATTAGTAAGGCGGTAGCTGCCGTATTTAGTAAAAGTAAAGGTAAGGAGAAGGATGAAACCTCATCAAGTTTTGAAAGTGATAGTGATGATGATAGTGAGACAGAAACATCAAGTAGTTCTAGTAGTTCTAGTAGTTCTAGTAAATCACACAGTTCAAAAGATAATAGGCAAATACCAAAAGTATTAACAACAAGCTAATCAGCTCATCTCCGAGTAAGCTTATTCTTAATTTTTTGTGTTTTTCTCCCATCACTTTTATGTTTTAAATTTACAAGAATAAGATATTAGATTTACTTTTTTTTTTATTTTTTTTATTTTAATAATAGGATGAAATAAAAATTTTGATAGAAGGGGGAAAACTATCAGATAAAAAACTAAATTCAGATAAGAATTAGACGTTTCAAATAACCAGTATAAGAAAAGATCTAATTCTGTCGATACAGAAGGAATTATCAGGATATCGGTATTATAGTGGTGCAATAAAAAAAATATTGAAGCAACACCATAAGATGCAGAAACAGACTGTGCAGATAAATGCAGATAAGGCGTTAAAGAAATACAATCATGCCAGAATAGTACGTAATAGTAAAATAAATGAGGTAAGACAATAATAATAATAATAATAATAATAATAATAATAATACTGTAATAATA